AAAAAAATGGGTCGGCGGGTTATGCAAAACGAAAAATTAACTTTGCATGGCCTAAACACCATTTATCCAAATAAATAGATATTTGAATATTTATTGAACATTGTAATACTTCGTAACTTGTAAATCGATTGCTTTTAATTTTACTTTCTATAAGTAAAAATAAGACAACTCTAATAACAGATAAGATTTTTACGTTTCTGTAAACTAAATGTCGTGTCATTTTATGGCTGAAATATACTAAGTAGAGTCATTGTACAAATTAACCTAATAAATTTATGTTTCCAAGTTTAAAGATAAATTAACTGAATTAATAATTTGTTAGGATTCTATTGACTATTATATTCAATGAATATTCAACGAATATATTTAGTGAATATTTTATATATTCGAAAGATATTTGGTTTAGTGAATAATTTATATATTCGAAAAATATCCAATTTAGTGAATAATTTATATATTCAAAAAATATTCAGTGAATATTTGAATATACTCGAAAATATTCAGTGAATATTCGAATATACTCGAAACATTTCAGTGAATATTCGAATATATTCGAGAAATGTTCAGCGAATATTTGAATATACTCGAAAATATTCAGTGAATATTCGAAACATTTCAGTGAATATTAGACCTCTAGTTATCGTTACGTATCTATTATCGTTATGGCTAAAATACGTACGTGTGTACGAAGTTCATTTGATATTAGTTTTAATAATTAATAATAAGCCAGCTACAGCAGAGACCGTTAATGTTACACGTATATTAAACTGGTGAGGGATTATATCCATCACAATTGAATCCAACATAAATAATTTAATTTGTGATTGATCACAGGCGAGAGGGATTCACTTCGGATCGGGCACTGTCTCTGCTGTTTAAGCCAGCTATAAGAAAGGACCATCTAACAGACGTGAGAATTACGACACACGCTCTGATACATGAACATTTAGCTCGACTTATTTTTATAAATTTCCTTTCATTATATATTTTATTGATTATCCTGTGCAAAAATAATCCTATGCTTTGTTTCGATTAATAATTTTCGTAAAATAATGCAAATAAAAATAATGCAAGAACGTTAAGTCCGCAGCATACATAAAGGACTAAGGGATCCCAAAAAATTTACGCTTAAAAGTTATCGTAGCGATCCAAGTTAATAACAAGATAGAATCAGAATATTATTATGCGAAAAAACACGATTGTTTTGCAAAGGTACGGATATGAACTCAACATCCATATTCGAGTCTTAGATGACATCGTTATGAGTTGCTTAATATCGTTTCGGGTGTTTCAAATATTTCCTTAGGTCGAGTACTTACATAGTTATGTTTAGCCATTTCTCGCTTCGATAACTTTTGAAAATTTAGTCAATCAAGAAAGGAGCTAGATCAACTAATGCAGGATTTACAGAATACTGTTAACAGAGTAGGAAAAAAACATTCGTTTAATCATCAAGGAATGCAAAAAACAATTGATCAATGGCGATTATAGAATTTTAAGAACGATCAAAATACATCAATTCGAACATAACGATAACATTTTTAATTAAATCGCTATATCTCGTGATCTAGTAGTCAAACTCAGAATTTTGGTACGTTCAATTCGTCTCACTTAGACGAATCAAATGATATAAAATCATGATTTCGATCACTAGATCATAAAATATTGCGATTTAATTAACTGTATGAATTTGGTATGCAAAACCTGTAAAATAAATTTCTCAAATAATATATTACACTTGCAACCTCCTGTGAAAATATCAGTACATCAAACGAAGTATTAATAGAATTCTTCAAGTATATTATGTAACAGTAAGAGATTACCTTAATCATTACAAAAGCAAGAAAAAAACAATACCGAACACAAGAAGCAAAGAACAAGTTATTTGACTGTAATATAATTTCTTTATAAATTTCAAAATCAATGTTTAAATTTGAAAGGTCATTATAATTTAAAAACTTTTTTTAAAATTAACTTATTATAATACAGTATCTTAATCATTTCCTTTAGTTTATACTTGCCGGATAATCCTGAAAAAACTCCAAAAAAAATTGTTATTTATAAATAATTAAATCCTGATATTTTGTAAATATATTCTATATAAGATAATAACTCATTTGTTTAGTCAAAGATTATTTATAAAGTTTTTTAAGATGTTAGTTTGGCCAGAGTTTGAAATTTGGGCTTGGATAAACTCAAAACTATAATAGTTTAGGATCTGGACAACAAGTATACTAGTTTTGTTTCATACCAAGCCTCCTCCTCTTCTACCAGGTGGTCTTGGTCTTGAAAAGGTTAATCTTGGTGCTACTTCAACTGGAGGATGTAATTCGTCTAAAATAAAAGCTTTTGTAAGATCTTTTGGATCATTTGTTTCCAACTAAAATGATTAATAAAAATTTTATTAATATAAACTTATAAAATATTGAATTTTAAATATCAAGGGTAAATAATAAAAATACCTTTTTGGCAACCGTAAGTCCGCAGTCACTTTCACCATACGCGATCACAGATCCACGGCATGATGAGTATAACATACGCTCCCGAATTTTAGATGATGTTGGACAAGTATATATAAAAACTAAGAGTAAGATAATAATATTGAGCTAATTGTGACAACTAAATATAAATTTTAAGCGTACAAGTTTAAAAATCATAGTTACTTGTAGATTGATATTCTTGTCCTTCATGAGAATGTTCATAAGTAAAGAAGGAGAATCTCGGCTCTTCAGAGGATAAAGTATCTGCCAGCTCATCAATATCGATTTTACTGGTAGAATCGAGTTCAATTCTTTCATTTTTAACATCCAACGACTATGTATTAATATATTAAATTAATATATTAAATTGGAAGAAAAAGCTTTTAAATGAGCGGTTGATCACTCAAAGAGAAACATACAACAACGAAGTGATAATTCATAAAAGTTTATTACAAGTTGCACCAGATTAAAACTTGGATCATCTTGCTTCAATGACTTTATAGCAGTCACGGCTTCATCAGATAATGGAAAAGCAATGCCAGCAACATGAGATTTGCGTGATGAAGTACTATATGAACTGGCGCCTGCCTATTAATTTGAAGTTATGTATAAGATCATTTATATAAAATATTTATGTAATAGATTTAGTATATTTCATGCTTACCTCAGCCGCTCTGACTTCAGCCAATTCTTTTTCACGCTGAGTCAGTGGCGCTTCCGCGTTTTTGTGACGTTTATGCCTTTCATATTCTTCAAGTGAGAAATCGGTCTACAGAAATATAACATGATATTAACGATGATGAATTGCGTAATGAATGCGGGTTTATAAATAGTACTTACGATAGCAGTACCATGCATAGAATCTACGAATCGATAATCACCCAACTCTTTTGTTAAAGTAGCACGAGTGGATGCATACAACGTTTTGTCTCTGACCTTTATATTAATTGAATGAATCTTATAGTAAGAAAATGTCATGATTTCAAGAACATTTATCATAAATCAATTTCACCTTGGCATTATCAGGAACATAAGCAAAGAATATCCATTCATAGTCTCCTGAGGATGATTTAGTATCAAGCCGATAAAGAATGTAGCATGGAATCTTATCTTCCAAAAATTCTTGAACTCCAACAAAATCTATTATATATACACATTGAAAACATTGAAATAAATACATTAATAAAGTAGACGATATATTTGACCTTTTTTTTTTAACTTGGATAACGTCGTCTCACCATCATTCCAGCCACTCTTTACTTCTAACGTTCCATTTGGAACTAAGGATTCTTAAAGGAACCATGGTTTTAATATGAGCTGATCAAACTTGTTTAATGAGTGTTAAATTTTCGTTTACCATTAACTATTGACACACGTATAAGCCTATAGTTTCCATTTGTGACAGCATTGCTGAATAGTTCAGCGAGTTCTTTAGATACTATACAAAACTAAAAGCATAAATTTTTACATTACAAACAATTATTTCTGATAGTTATGGCTAAAATGCTGACCCTGAATCCCAGATTGAGTCATAGTTTCAATAAAACTATTATTTGTTCGAAATGTATGTACGTACGTACGTACGCACTTTAAAATTAGATTCTCCTTTCGGGCACATGATTGTTGATCACGGATAAATTTAGAATTATCGTTACAATCAACTCTTTCTGTGCCGAACCCTCGAAAATAAACTGTCCTGTAGGGTTGGGGCACGGGAAAAAATTTGTGCCCCGCTATATATAACCAAGTACTATGCCGCTATAACTAACTAATATAAGAATATCTCCAAAAATTCTGTATTCAGATGTTCAAAATCACAGGTAATGAAACTTCTATATATATTTTTTAATTAAATTTTTTGCAAAATTTTGGATTTATTGCGTCGTATTTTTGTTCTAATCTTGGAATCTGATAGGTTGCTGTGCAAATTTTTAGAGGTATTCTTGAAGTAGCTGCTAGATCTTGTAGCCAATCAGCATATTCCAATTACACATGATCAAGATAATCAAATGATATGAGCTTGCCTTTTGGCTCAAGGGCATGCCTCTGAGGTAGGGCACTTCATTTTTATTTGTAGATATCAAGAAATTTTTGGATACAGTAAGAATTTTTTTTGTTCGTTTATTATCTCAAATTTTTACGCGTCTATTTCTTATTTTTGGTTAGCACAGTTTTAAAACATGTTGACTATCGCTATCATAAAGGTTTAGTTCTTTAGTTGAGAAAAACTACAATACAATAGGGTGAAACCTGCGATAGATTCTAGCTAAATCCACTACAAAAATCACGTAATAGTAAAAGCGAAATCCACGTTAACACGACGCCCTGACGATCAAAGCAGATTTTATTAGAATTTAACACAGGTTTCACCCTAACGCTAATCTATTACAAGCTCTTTATTAGATTTTATGCGCAGATTATGCACTATTAAATATGCAAAGTCAGCCCTGATATGCAAAATATGCAATCGCATCTGCAATGCAGGTTTATGCGCAGATTTTGCAATTGCAAATTTGCACTAGCATTACTCTGAGGCATGCCCTAGGATACCGTGCCCCCAACTCTACTGTCCTGCCTAACTTAAAAAATTTCACTGGCCAATCAGATTTCAAGAACAGGTGTGACCAGTGTTTGACTCGCTTATAAGTCCAGTAAAATTGAACTGGAACTGGACTTATAGGTCCAGTGGTCCAGTTTATAAGTCCAGCAGTCCAGTTTATAAGTCCAGTAGAGCGGACTTTTGGTCCAGAGCCTAACACTGGGTGTGACGCAAAGGAAACGCAAAAAAATCAAAACAACCAAAAAATCGCTCATAACTCAGCATTTAATCTATTAAATCACTTTCTGCGCACTAACAAAACGTTTTCTTTGCGAAATTTTGGTACTAATAAAGCTCTTTCTAGCCTAGTTTAATATCAAAGCCTAAATCTGAGCGAAATTTTTTTAGGTTGGTAACGCTAGATCAGTTCTCGAAACTCAATAAAGTTAAAGCTTAAAAGTGTAATAAGAATGTTTAAAAACTTTATATACGTATATAGAGATTACTAACGAGTCTTTGGGTATAAAAACTTTATATACGTATATAGAGATTACTAACGAGTCTTTGGGTATAAAAACTTTAGATCTTTAAATATGGTATTTGGCATAAAAGATGTAACTGGTTCTTAACAAGCAAATTGTTTCCAAGCAAATTGTTTTTAAACTTTAGATTAAAATATATCAGCAACTATTAAATCAAATTTTTTTATTTTAATTTTATAACTATATAGAATTAAAACAAAAAATTTTATCAAGTTTGATTTAATAGTTGTTGAGATATTTTAAATCTATTATCGCAAGCAGTGATAGACCTAGGCCAATCAGGTTGCACAATTCAAAAGAAACCCCAACAATTTCAAATCAAAATAACTCACTATTATGCTTATGAAATTAACTTCCGTGTCTTAAAAAATATTTCTTGTATAATTTTATTATATATTATAACCTTTCTAACACTAAATCTAACTCTAAATAAAATCTGGGTACTGTCACCGGCGGCGACAAGTAGATGTTCTTTAATTTAAAAAATTTTTCTAAAAATAATTTGCTTGGTTTTCTTCATTTACGTATACACGTATACATATTACTTTATACGCAGTTGTGATCTCACCAACCATACACACTACTATTCGCATTACTCTACCGAATTTATACATACTCATACTAATTTAATTAGACTTACAGTATTCTATTACGGGATGTTTGTTCATGAAACAATTCGATTTTATAAAATCGAATTTCTCCAAATGACAGTTGTAGTGAAAATATATATAAAATATTTATGCAATATACTAGTCATATATGTTATTGAAGGTGCAACCATAATGTGATTCAATATAATTATGGCAAGTTTCGGCATAATGCTTGCATCTCTATGCGTTATAATGCGTTATAAACGATGATTAATTTTTTTGTAACACATTAGATCATCTTAGAATAATGGTCGATGAGTTTGGCTCTGAAGGAAAGAAACGTAATGGAACATGTGCAAATTGCAACCTATGCAACGCATCTTACGCTTGGTGCCAAACATGCGATCCTCAAAAGATAGTACAAAGGTGGACAAGTGGAAATGAGGATGTCGATGAATGTATTGAAGGATTTCAACTTAAAGCCACATCTAACGAAGATGTAAAGTGTAAAAGTGTCTATGGATTAACTCAAGACACGACCACAAACAAACATATGTCAATTTTTAATATAATGAATGGAACATGTGTAAATTGCAAGCGACATAACACATCTCCATCTTGGTGTCAAACATGTGACCCTTGGAATACAACGCAAGGATGGACAAGTGGAAATAAGGATATTGATGATTGTATTAAAGAATTTCAGCTTAAAGCTACGAGATATGAAGATGTAATCGAGTGGATTCCTTTTAATAGATTAGTTAATATTCAAAATATTGGCAATAGAATTTTAGCAACCTGGTTAGATGGAATACGATATCTAAATTTTAAATGTGGATGGACACAGTCACGTATGCCATCGTATAAAGTGGAGCTTAAAATACTAACAATTTCGCATTTGTTAAAGTTAATTATGGTAAGTTACAGTAAAATATTTGTTATGGCTGATGCTGAGATTCGGGATCTCAATTTGACAACCAGTCATGAATCCTAAACAATCCCTAAAAAAAA